TTCCCTGAGGTGCTACCTCTCCCAGACACCCCACTGTTGACTTGCAATTCTCCTAATGACCAAAATCATAAAAGCTTTGTAGTTTATGGAGCACAAATACACCACTGTCACTTTAGAAGTGACAAATCTAATTTTTGTAAACTGTTAGAAGGTGTCTTTGTAACATAATAGAATAGGGCCATCTTCTTGTTTAGTGGTTGGAGTACAAAATTTTTGAATCATGATTCTGTTCCTGATCTGACTAACTTTGTGACCTTGGCAAGTCATTAGTTGTCTTAAAGCTACAACGGATGATTTTGCTAAGGAGCGTAAGCATTCAAGGGTAAAAAATATTTTTTGCAAGACTGGCCACATGTAGCTAAGGCTATTGGGAAATTATTTAATGTATATTCATTTAAAAAATGTGAAACCATAGTTAAAGGTGGTTCTGTAATTTGTACAAAGCTGAAGTTGAAATTGATATATAAAACTTCAACTTTTTCACTTCTCAGTTATTGAGTATAATCATGAAGTTTTTAACATGGAATTTCCTAGAGTGAGCTTCATTCTCTGTTACTTAGAAACTGCAGAAATTGACAGTTATTTATCCATATCCTGTAACTTGGAAGGGCAGTAGTAGGCTAGACATTCCTGTGAAGTCCATTTTAGGATGTCTTAGTTGCCTCATTTGCAAGTCGGAGAATGTAACTTTCCCATATTGTGGTTCTCTAAAGCTGTGTCTGAGTGCATGACTTATGATATATGAGTTGCAGGGTGATGAGAGCAAAGGGGTGGAGACCCCTTTCCTGGGGGCAGAGCGGCAGTGCGAAAACCATGTGGTACCAGGGAAACAGCCCCAAAAGCCCCGTGATCCAGGACAACTTACCTGGCATAGGCACAGGGGCAAGAAGCAGGGAACTACAGGTGGAGCTGCCCGTGTGGTTCATTAGTTGCTTATCAGTGCGTCTGGGGGTGGTGCAGGAGGATGATGTCATCAAGCAGCACTGGCAGGCAGCTTCAAAAGCTGACTGCCAGGAAGAAGCTGGAGAGGAACAGCTTGGAGGCAGCTGTATGCTCCCAGCTGGCACCCCCGGCCATACCACAAGCCAGGAACGCTGGGTAGAATCCGAAAGAGGAGCCTGTCTCTCTGAGGAGCAGCGCCCAGCATTGGACAAGGGAAGGATGCTGAGGGACTAATGCCACAGCAACATGCAGGGATGCGTGAGTAGGGAGGAGAGATCTCTACCTCCCTGATTCTTCTTCTTTTTTGTGGAGATATTTTTTTTTTTTTTAATTACTCATGGGGCCAGACTGAGGCCATGTTTAGTGATATTACTTCTGGGCCTGGGAAACCAGGAGCTCTCAGGGACTCCAGGGCAGAAGACTGGATCAGCTGGACCAGCTTGCCCATCTGACCCAAGAAATACAGCTGTAAGGGAGAAGATTGTTCTTCCATGTCTGAGCATTT